CAACATTTAGGTCTTGTTTGATAATTTAATTTAGCACTTATATTTAATGGGTTTAGATTTTAACATGTTTAGATGCATTTCATAATAAAAAATAGAACATTTAAATTAGTTAAGTGGCATTGATTTTTTGGATAAAAAGTGTTTAATTTAATTTAATTTAATTTTTAGTTCGCAAAATGATAGTTAGCTATTTTTATTGAATTTGGTTCATCTTCTTTTAAAAAATAATCAACAAAACAAACGTTTTTTGCATTAAATTTCTGAAAAAAGGAAAATTCTCACAAAAATTTATTTTTAATCTTTTCAAATTCAATTTCTTCCAAATAAAATGAAATTTTTGCAAGGCAATCTCAATTAGGAATTAATATTTTGTTTACCCTAAATTTGTTTTGAAAAACAAAAAATAAAAAAAAGGAAAAATAAGATAGGTGAAAGGCATACATAGTAGCTAAATGAGATAGGTGAGCATTAGCCATGTGGTTTTGGCATTTTGCACAACACATGCAAGAGGCTAGGTGGCAAGACAGGTGTAGGAAGATGAGGAAAAATCTGAAACAAGCAAGACAGAAAAAGAAAGCTTCGGGCAGTAGGGAAAAGGGCAGAAAAGAAAGAAAGGAAAAAGGGGTTTTTGCGGTTGAGAGGGAAGAAAGCTTGGAGGCAGGGAAAGAAAAGAAAAACCAAGAGAGGGAAGAGAGCTTTGGGGGGAAAGAAAAAAAAATGGAGAGAATGAAACAAGGGAGAATCTGGGGAAAATAAGTAAGAGAGGAGAGCAAAAGAGAGAAAAAAAAGAACGAAAAACAGAAGGAAAAGGGAGCTTGGGGAGAGGAAGGAAAAACGGGAGAAACTTCGGCAAAAGAGAAAGAAAGGAACAAGAAAGAGAAGAGGAAGAGAGATTTCTGGGGGGAAAGCAAGAAAGAGAGAGAGGCTGCGGAAGAGGTAGAGGGAAACTGGGGAAAGAAGAAAAAGGGAAGGAAGGAAGCTTCGGGCAGGAGAGGAAGAGAAGAGAAAGGAAGAAAAGAAGAAAAAAAGGAAAAAAGAAGAAAAAGGAAAAAGGAGAAAACAAGGAAAAGAGAGGAGGAGGGGAAGATCTGGGGATGATCAGGGAGGAAAACTGAAAAGAAAAACGAAAGGAAAAAGCAAGAGAGACAAAAGAGAAAAGACCGAGGGAAAAGAAAAAAGGGAAGAAGAAAAAGAATTCTGGCTGCGACAAGGCTGATCATACAGCCTTCTTGAGCAAGGATTTTCTCCGTCAATTCAGCCTCGCGCACGAAACCGTCAATTTCTGCACACTCTCCAACATTGGGAGAGAAATTTTGTTCGAAAATTTCGCAGAAAGAATGCCTGGAATATCTTCGAATCTAGCTCTAAATTTGCCGATGCTCAAAGAGTCAACGAGTTGACTGCAGCTGCTTTCTTTGCTCGTTTCTTTGTTCAAGTTCGGTCAAAAGGCTTCATCAGGTACTTTCTGAACTAATCTTATAGTTCCTTCCCTTTTCACTTGTTGGCTCATTCATTTGCAGTTCTCTTTCGTTCCGTTTTGCTGCCATTGCTTTGTATTTTTATGTTCTGTCTTGATTTCCTATTTTTTGATTTCCTTCAAAGTTGATTTTATAAGAGTAGGATATGAGGCAGTTATATGGTTTTGTATGCTTAAGAATTATCTGACATTTTGTTGAAGTTGATAAAGAACCCAGAAGAGTTGCAGAAAGAAAGCTTCTGCGAAGAAGATGCATGCAAACTTTTACAAATTTCATTTTGACCGCTAAATTTTACCTAATTGCACTATGGCCCAAAACCTTCTGAAATTAAACCAATTTTGCCCCTTTTAACTTTATTCTTTTTTTTTTGTTTTTTAGTGATTCATTGGTAGATTAATTCTGGAATTTAGAATATAATTAGGATTAAATATTTTTAGTTGATTTTTTAGCTTGTTGGGTTTTATAAGAAGAGTTATAGATTTGGGTAATATTTTCGTTTGGGTTTAATAAGTGGATTTTTTATTTATCTTTGTGAGTTCTAGCATTAGGTTGGGTAGGCTTTATTTAGAGCCCTTGATTTAATTTTTTCTTTAATTTTTGACCCCTAAAATTTTTGTAATAATAATTTGACCCCTAGAACTTTTATAATTATTTCAATTAGGTCCTTGCTTTTTTTAGTTTCTTGAATGTAGGTTGTTTAGTTTCATTTCAATGCTTTAATTGTTCAATTTCACAATTATTTCCATTTCTTTACATATTCTTGCTTTTATGTGTTAATTAAATTGGTACATTGACTACTTTATTGATTTTTGGAGCTTTAAATAGGGTAAATCCAAACCCAATTAGCTACTACTTCAAGGGGAGGTATTTTCTTTTATTATTTAAAAATCCTATGTGCTCCTATGTGCTCCTATGTGTGTAATTGCATGTTTTTTGAATGTTTTATTTTATTTTACTTTATTTATTTATTTATTCACTTTATTTATTTTTAATTTTGTATTTTTATTTTAATTTAATTTTTGATTATTTGAGAGGCAATTAAACGCCAAATTGTAATAGATAGGGGGTTCAAGACATGTATTTAGCTAGTTTATGTAATAAATAGGATTTAATTCTTATTAAAAATGTAATTAGTTAGATAAATGTAATAGTTAGGTTTATTATTTTATTCTTTTCCCTCTTAGATTGTAATTAGGGCTCCGAATGTAATAGTTAGGTTTCTATTTGCTTTTATTTGCTTGTGTGCTTGCATGCTTGTGTGATTATGTGTTTACTTGCTTTCATAAGGGTTTTGCATATAGAAATTATGCCTATGTGTTATGTGCTCTATGTGTTTTATGTGATTACATGTTTTAATTATGTTTTATATGATTTATTTAATTATAATAAATGCATGACGTCACCACACTAGTCCAATGCTAGTTGGGGTCTTCCTCTTCGATTTCTCACTAGTCCAACGCTAGTGAAGAGCTTATAGATATGAGCTAGTCCAACGCTAGACCCTTAGGACCTTCGCGCGTTAGATCGTGTTTGCATGACAAATCACTACATTTCATGCATATTTTCTACCTTTTAGGATTTTATCATTTTGCATGATATTTTTCCTAGATGTATCCCTCATCCCCATGTATAAAACATGACATGGAGACTTGCATTTCATTTAAGAAAATTAGAACTAGGTTAGATCATTTGCTTGATTAGATAGGAGAGTTACCCTTTAAATATGGGATATGGACGAGTATGGCTTCTTAGCCTTAGCACGCTCATATTCCCTCTATAAAAGGGAAACTTGAGTCATGAATCTCAGCCCCCGTACCCGTTTTATTGCATTCCTCTTTTTAGGTCACGTATGTTTGTATATTATAATTTTTCTATTTTTTTCAAATCTCATTGTTGCATATTTGTAACCTCTTCAAAGAATCACTTTTAGGTATCGCAACTAATGCGATTTGCACCAACTAAAATTCGAAGAGACATATTGACCCTTCCGTTAGCCATTATGTTTAGGTTTGCATTCATATAGTAACATCCAAGTGTGGTAAGTTTTTAGGGTAAACTAAGAAAATTTTTCGACTACATCACGCAATTAGTCTTGGTTAGGTTGAAAGGGTGCTTTGGATTTTATCCTTACCTTCCATTTCTTCAACCGTGACTCCCGAGCCCTTTTATCTTGATTTTCGAAGATTTGGAGTCGTTTAAAAATGATTTTTTCTAATTTTTTATTTAAAATTTATTTTCGGGGACTTGGTACACATTTTTTTTCAATGAATCTGATCTTTATTAGCAAAGAAACGAGAAATTACACTGACCGCGTGACCTGACCTAACCTGAAACCATACATAATCTCACATATGGAGTGGACAACTTATCTAACTGCAAAAGTGACTGAACTTTAGAAGGGAGAGCTACATCACTTGAGAACCGGACATCTGATCATAGGTTCAAGGCGGCCAAAGCATCTACAACCGCATTTGCTTCTCTGAACGTGTGAACCAAAGACACTCCTAAATTTGCAACCAAGAATTGAATATGCCTAATAATATTGCATAATGGCCAGCGAGATGGCAACTTGGAGGACACGTCACTCACTAAAGTACTAGAATCCACTTTCGTTATGAATCCCGAGAGATTGTTGTCCTGGCAAGAACGTAGGCCCTCCAGCAATGCCAATGCTTCTGCAGAGAGAACATCTTGATCTCCAAACTCCTTATAAAAGGCAAACACTAAATCACCCTTAGCCGAACGCACCACCCCTCCACTACTAGCACGCCCGCTTACGACACTTGCATCAGTATTGAGTTTCACAGCTTGCCCTGGAGGTTTCACCCAAGAAAAGGCTCGAAACTGTACCAATTTTTCCTTGACCTTACCATATTGCACCCAAGCACAATCTGTGTCCCCTTTGAAATACTCCATCTTAACCAGGCCACCCCTACCCAACTGGTCGAGAAATGCGCACACCTGGTTGATTATCTAATCGGACGAAATACTCATCCCCTCAAAGCGGGCCTTGTTATGGCCCTTCCAAAGGAACTACAAAATCGATAGAGGAAGAATGACACGAATATGATTCTGTGAAACAAACCAATGAGACAAGAGTCAGCTGGCAAGCCTCGTGGCCACCCTACTGCCCTGGACCATCAGCCCAAAGACGTGGGAGAAATGCCGCCAAACACTACTTGCTAAAAGCCTCGAGACAAAAAGGTGGTTGCCCATTTCCGGCGCTCGGCCACAGCAATAGCACTTTGACGTTAACCTCAACCCCCTACCTTGAAGGAGATCATCCAAAGGAAGCCACCCTCACAACAAACGCCAAGCAAAGAAGGAAATCTTTAGAGGGACCACCAAGCTCCAGACTAATGTATCAATAGCGGACTGGTTGTGCTTTGAGCGAAGAACCTCCCAAGTTGAAGACACAGTAAAACTCCCCAAAGGTGATGCCGCCCAAATCATTTGGTCTCGAGTATTGGGGAATATACGCAGCTCCCAGATCTTCGAAACTAAGTGCCCCGGAAGAAGCCGTCAAAGCCACGGTTCATCCCAACCATCAGAGAGAAAGAACTTCCCTACCAACCTGTGAGACTTAGGCCTTGGCACCAAACTAGCAAGCGGAACATCAGAACACCACCTGTCCAGCCAGAAGTTAACCAAACCCTCAGCCAGACACCATCGGATATTCCCCTCCGCAAGATCCCTCACCTCCAGCAAATGGCACCAAACTGGGGACGGATGGTCAGTTGAAACAAGAAGAGGATGCCCACCTCTGATGTACTTAACGTGCATGAACATAGCCCAAATGGATGCCTGTCCCCTCAACTTCCACCAGAGCTTACATGAGAAAACCTTAGCGACGTCCTCAAACAAGCGAAACCCTAGTCCCCCCTCTTCTACCAGACGGCAAACCTTATCCCAAACCGCCCAATGGACCCTTTTGGCTTTAGTAGAGGTGTCCCACAAGAAAGCATTACACACTTGGCCTAAGTGCAGCAACACTGCCTTCGGCGGTTGGAGCACCTGGAGTAAATAGACGGGAAGGGAACACAGGACACTTCGTATAAGGACAATCTTCCTCCCATAGATAGCATCTTCAAGCTCCAATGGAATAACTTTTGACGTACTTTGCCCAGCAACCCATCAAATGCTGCATATGTAACCCTACCACGAATCAGTGGCACCCCTAGATACCTAAACGGAAAACCTTGGCGCTGATATCCCAGGGCCGTGCTTACTAGGGTCAGTTGAGTGTCCGAAACCCTAGATGATACGCAAAAAGCACTCTTAGTAATATTCACCTTTTAGCTAGAACAATATTGGTAGAGCTGCAAAAAATTCCTTATGGACAACAATGTATCCTGCGAGCACCAAGTGAAAATAATCATATCATCCACAAAGGCTATATACGGCACTTTCGGTCCTGTAGATACAAAGTATCGACTGTCCTTGGAATCAAATATCCTTTGCAATCCCCTTCGTAGAAATTCTGCCACGAATAGGAAAAGGGCGGGAGAAAGGGGGTCCCTCTGCCGCACCCCCTGATAGGACTTCACGAAACCCGTTAGCTCCCCATTAATTAAAACTGAGAACCAAGAATTATAGAACGTTCGAAAGAGCAAATCCATTATAGCCTCTTCAAAACCATATTGCCTAAGCATAAAAAAGTAAGAACGACCAGTCGACCCGATCGTATGCCTTCTCCATTCCAGTTTCAAGATCAAGTTTGGATCAACCAACCTCCTATCCAAGTCTAAAACCAACTCCTGTGCCAAAAGAACATTGTCCACTATCCCATGGCCTGGAACAAACCCTATTTGCCATGGTGAAATGAGGTTCAGAAGGAGTCTATTGATCCTAATTGCCAAAATTTTATACACTATCTTCGACCTTACATTACAAAGGCTAATGTGTTGAAACTCCCTCCAGTGGGATGCACCCTTCACTTTCGCGATGAGCACCAACAGAGTGTGGGACCAGCTCTTGGGTTGCTCCATACCTTAGAAGAAATTCTGAATAGCCATAATCAAATCATCTTTAATAATGTCCCAGCAATTTTGAAAAAATCCTGCTCCAAACCCATCCGGACCTGGTGCACTTTGTATGTCCATTCCAAACACTACCTTGTGGATTTCCTCCATCGTAGGAAGCCGTTTGATCAGCTCATTATCAGCTTGAGTAACTCTAGGAACTTCAAAATGAAGCTCAGAAGGGGATTGTACCTGACGATTGGATGAGAACAACCCCAAAAAAAGGATATCGCTGAGCTCTTAATGTCTTATGGGTCTTTATGCCATCCCCCCTCCTCTTTCCTAATACGGGAGATGAAATTCGAGTTCTGACGTTGGTGGACCCAAGAGTGAAAAAAAGTAGTATTAGCATCCCTCGCCTGTAACCATTTAATACCCGTCTTCTGATGCCAAAACTCACATTCCATAGAAAGTGCCTGATTATATCTCGCTCTGGCCTCATGAAGATGAATCTTAGACTCTTCATCCCTAATCAAATTATACTCCGATTCCCTTTGTTTCAACTCCTGCTCAGCCTCTACCACCTTAGAAGAAACATTGCCAAACACCTCTCGGTTCCATTGCTTCAATTTGTCTCGTATTGTTTTGAGCTTGTTGTAAAATCTAACCATCCCCATGCCATAGAACTCTTTACTCCACGCTTCCGACACTATCTCCTGGAATTGGGGGTGACACCGCCAAATATTAAGAAACCGAAAACAAGACGAACCCATCTTATTGCCTCCACATCGAATCAAAAGAGGGCTATGGTCAAATCTCCCTCTGGCCACATGAGAAACTCTAGATAGCGGATAGGCCTCGGACCATAGCCTATTCCCCAGCGCCCGGTCCAAGCACTGCCAGACCGACTTATTAGTCCATGTGAAACGAGATCCATTAAAATCAATTGCCGATAGGCCGCATTTAAACATGGAAGTATTAAATTCATCCATGTTTTGAACATTGGCAGGAGCCGCCCCTTCACGCTCCTCTGCTGCAGCTATGACATTGAAGTCGCCTGCTACTACCCAGGGTTGATTTAGAGAAACCGACGAAGCAACACTTTCCATTGCCTCCCAAAGAAGCCTCCATCCAACCCTTGTGCACCTTGCATTTACCGCAGATAACCAAAAGGATGCCCCAGAGGCAAAGAAAACTTGAGTGTGAATCATTTGCTTAGCGTACTCGACACAGTTAATTCGTACGGGACACGACCAAAATACCCATATTTTACCATCAATATAAAGAGTCGAAAAGTCAAAATTTAAATACCTCCGTACCACTTCCAATTGACCCTCTGCAGACATTGGCTCTACAAGGATTAGTAGTTTAACATTGTTTTTGTGACACAACCTCTTCAGATATCGCAAAGAGTCCTTCCGGGAAGCCCATCTGATATTCCATACTAATATATTAATCGGATCTAACATGAGAATGCAGTGAGTATGAAGCTTGAGCCATAGGTTCACGCATGCTAGTGTCCCCTTTCCTTGGTCTCCCTCGTTTTCGTCTCATATCAGTTGCGGTATCTTCACCATCCAAGCCATTACCTAATTCCCTATCAAGATGAATTGAATGAACCAAGTTAGTCCCAACACCCTTTAATTGCTGCGCTTTAACATTGAGTGCCCATTGAAATGCCTGCAATTCTTATAACGAGACTGGGACCTCTCTCAAGTTATCCACTGAGCGCCCTCGCGGTTGCCAGCCCCGTTTCCAAGCTCTTGGCACTGGTTGTATCTGTGACAGCCCCACCTTCCCCTAAGGCGAATCAAAGGGTTCGGCGGACCGCCTGCCCAACTCTCGCCAGGACTACAAAGACTTACAACACAACCTCACCTAACTTGCAATAGAAATCCCAAGAAAACAACCAATTGAAGGCTAATAGGTCATTTACACACTAGCTAAATCGTTTCGAATGATAATATAGTGCAGGGACGCTTCGACGGATGTAAAAATAAAATAAAATAAAATAAACAAAAATGAGCCGCGGATGAATAGTGACTGCCATGTCACTATCCGACTGGAATTAGGCCGGATTGGAGGCAGAAGCTGACTTCCAAGGGTTCAAAATGCCCTGCAAATCCGGCCAGGTATCCGGCCAAAACTTGGCCGGATTCTGGGCCGGATTCCGCGAACTCCTCCAAAATGTTTCTTTCCTTGATCGATCTTCGTACTCAACCGGAAAACAACCGAAACAAGTACACTTTACCCAACACTCATGAAAACACATCACCAAAGAAAATAGTTCACATATACAAGAGTAAACACTTTTATAAATCCATGTTCATAAGCTTTACAAATCAGAGGAAACTTGGAATCAAAATACATTTAGGGTTTTCAACTACCGAGGAGCTATATAAAAGAATAATTGAATGCCTAACTAGCTCAACTCGCTTCTCAAAACATGGTTCCGAAAGTTGTTCTTGTAAGGAAAACAAATTAACGGGAACGGGGTGAGTTAGAAACTCAGTGAGGTACCAAAAGTATAACAGCTACAAATCATGATATTTCTCTTTAAGACACATAGACACGTCAAATAAAAGAAATGAACGAACACCACAAATTAAAGGATACAGGTGGCTCTCAGGAGCCAAATTCCCGTTGCAGTACTTGATCCGACTACGTTGACCCTCCGTCAACTTTCAAATAAGGAAATCAGTCCAATAGAACACCACTTTAACGCCAAATCCCGTTCACCAATCATACCCCCTTACCGGGCCCGAACGCCAAACAAGAACGGAAATGGTAATACTCGAGTATACCGGAAATCTGGAGTCTCCAATACCCAAAAATTTTTCAGGAACAGGCACCCATGGATTGTCAAATTTTCTCGACCAAACCCATGCTGGCTCGATCCAATTGACTCCCCATGAGATTGAGCTCAGATTAACAGGAAGGTCGTTGGATACACTTCCAAACGACATTAGAACAGGCGCAGGTAATAGATTCAAGTATATACAGGAAACAAGTCATACAGGCCAGAGTACGAGTGTGATAAAATACACACTCATCTCGTACAAAATAAACAGTTGATAAAGACATTCAAATAGCAATTTGCAAGTACATATAACCATTTTAGCAATAATTCAAGGGAGTGGTACACTCACCGGTTAAAGCAAGGATACTTCAAAAGTTTTCACCCAAAGAGGTTTTAATCGCCAAGAAACCCTAAAAGAACCAAGGTAAACAATTATGGTTCTCATGGCCACAAATCCAGTAAATAAAATGCACAAATGAGACTTGACTACAAGTCGTAGACCTCACCAAATAATGACTCATGCAAGGGCGCAAAACATTTCCTTATTTTTCCATCCTACAATCAACACCAATTCAGCTCAAATCAATCACATGCCAATCATAGACTATAACATACACCTTTCGGCACAATAACCACAACTGAAGCTACACTTCTCGGATTGAAATGAATTTTATGGCATTTCGAAGCCAAGACATAAACCTACATTTCTTATGAAGACCTCCAAAGCCAAATCATGCATTTTCATGGACAAAAATGGAAATCTCCACGAAAATAGAAATCTGTCCGCGAAACAGGGCTCATGGGCAGTCAAGGGTATTTTGGTCATTTCATAGGTTACAGTACTCTGATTGAGCTGAAATTTTGTAAGAAGCTAGTTAACATCATTTTCTACAACTTTTATGTTTTAATCTAAGCTTGATTCGGCCTCTAATATACACTAATAAAGTCGGTCAGAACAGGGCAGAATGGAACCCAACTGAAATTTTCCGCACAAGCTAAAATTTTTCGCATATAACCGTAATTAACGCACGAGAGATCCATTTAACACAATTTAGAGCCATCAATCCAAGGCCAACCATAATCATCATATGAAAACAGAAAAATCCCCAGAAAAATCAGAAATTTAGCTAACTCCACTTTAATCCATGAAATCTTTCACAAAGTAGCATCTATAACAACTATAAGCCACTACTTATCAATTAATTGAAGTAAAGAGGAAGTTTGTAAGCAAAGTACCTTGACACCTCAAGAAAGATGAAAACGTAGGATTTTTCTTTCCAAAACAACTCCACCAACCTCTTAAATCCTTCTTAGCAAGGTGTTTTTATGGAGTACTTTGAGATGTTAAAGATTGGAACTCAAGATTTGGCTTGGATTTACAAGACAAAATGAAGGTTTTTCCTCTCTTTTTCTCTCCTCAATAGCCCGCCAAGAAGCATGAAGAATGAAGATGATTTTGGTCAATTTTTTGGTATTTGGTAAAGGTGATGAATAGTAAGTCGAATCCCCCCTCCAATGGTTTCATGACACTTGTCTTTTCCTATGCTTAATCTTATTATTTTGTCTACCAAAGGTTAATCTATTTAGATAACCTCTAATTATCTTCTAACACCTAGTAAATTAATCCCTTTATACAAAACTTAACCTAATTGGCCGAAATTACCATACTTAGTGCACTAGCGGGTCCCACGTCTAATATACACTTCTAATATCTCATGAACTAACTTATGCTAGAAAAATAATTTAAAAACTATATTTACTTATAAAAATATCTCTAAAGTTAACATAATAACAAAAATGTAGAAAACGGGTGCAAAGAAAGAAAATAAGGCCTAGAAATTTAGAAAATTTCAGGTTCTCACACTCTCTCCCCCTTAAAAGAATTTCGTTCTCGAAATTTCTTATCATCGCTTTCTCCAGGATACAAAAATTTTATTACTTCTTTCTCACAATCAAATTGAGCACCGTACCTAACTAACCAATCAGTATCCCTTCACTAGCCAAGCTCATTGAATTCTTTCTTATAGTCTCTTCTTCCTTTTCAAATTGAAATTCTTATACATCAATCTAGTGGTCAAACGGTGGAATACCAGAATCTTACCTTCCACATTCTCAAACGGGTTAGGGACTTGATGATGCTCTAGGGAATACACCCGAGCCGACACCTTCGGTCCATTCTTCTCCCCCTTCGACTAGTCAGGGTTGGTCGTGGTTGGCTGTCGGTTCC